ACGTTCCTTTTCTATTGTCAAGATGGCCGTCCTGTCGCCTGCTACTCCTGGACTCCCGAGCAGCTTGCTGCCAGTTCTGCTACTTCTGGGAAGGATCAGTTTTCCCAAGCAGGTTTTTCAGCTGCTAAGATTCCTCAAAGCCAATTTCAAATTGTCATTGTCAAACAAACCCGAGTTTTTTGAGTACCATTTTTGTGTCCAGCATGGTTTTTTAAAAAATCTGTGGGGAGGCTGAGGAGATTCTAATCTAATCTCTGCTCTCAGAGTTTATAATTCTAGTTCAGCAGACAAGGTGTAAATACAAAAAACAAGTGGGAAAACAATAAAGGTTAAAATTTAAGCTTAATAGGAGCCACCTACCTCCTATTTGCCACGGTGTTATTTCCAGATGGTGCCCAAGATTTCCCTCCACCCTCAGCCCAGTGTTCCTGTTGGCTTTCAATTGGTGTTCTATTTTATGTTGGGAGGATCCAACTGAGTGAAGGGGCGCTTTTCTTGGCTTAGTTCACATTATCAATGCTTTTATTTCCAATTGCAGCTAATCTCCCCGTTCATTACCTCTTTTGCTATTTATTGAGACTCAGTGTCTGGGGGATCCAGTTGGTATGAAGGATTTGCCACAAAAGAAACTTCACTGTGTGTTCCCTGGGCACTGATATTTGCCAAGCAAGGGGTCACCAGCCTCTCTCCATTTCATTATACACCATGAGGATGAGTCATGCCTGGAAAATGTAGTGACTGTGAATTACAATTGTCCTCTACTGAAAAATCTCTCAGAAGAATTGGCTCTCATGCTCTTGTTCATTGAAGGGCGAACATCCTACCAATGAGCCAACATCTTATTTCTGTGTCACAGACATGCAGTACAACTGCCCCCCAGACTGGGGGCCAGAATCCGTGCAGCAAAGTATTCAGGTAAAAAGGGAAGAAAAACCCTTCTATTAAGTGTCATGGAACGCACAAGCCATTCATTTTCCCCTTGTGCAATCTGAAATCAGTTCTTGTACTCTAAGGGAGTGGAGAGAATCAGGCGGCATTGTGGGTCACCAATAATCCAATCCCTACCTGGGGCATTAGAACCTGCTTGCTATGGCCTAGAGAGACTTTTGAATGGGGGGTGATTAATTCCAGGCCCTCTTCTGTGCATTTTGCCAACCAAGACATCAGAACACAGAAATCCATTAGACCACAGTCACCCCTGTGAGAAGGGGAGATGGGAGCCTGAGCTGGGGCCCTGCTTGCTGAGGGCTTTAGAAAAGTGAGACAAAGTAGAGTCAGGGAAGTGACTGAGTGCCCTCCCTAGCCAAGCCCCTCTGGCCTGTGTCTATTTCTAGGACTGGCCAACAGATGTCCACACAGGAGCAGCGTGGAAGGGGTCAGGGCTATTGGAAAAGCCTTCCTCCAGGGCACCCCGATCACCTGGGAGCTTTATTTTGGTGTCTGCTGTTGGATCGCTGGCTATGCAGTTTTTATTATGAAGACATTTTCTCTTGGTTCCCTGCCTTAAGTAGCTATGAGTATATAATATCTAATAATTGAATAATCTCCATGAGGGCAAACAAAAGCACCAAGCTTGAGTAAAGAGTAGGATCTGTTTTGCACTTTCCTACCCCTGGCTATGAAATAGTCCCTTAATGATTGGTATCATAGTAACATTAAATAGATGTAAAATTTTTTTAAAATGTGGGCTGGTCTCCTGACTTTTCATTTGATTTAAAAAGCCTGATTTGCTGCTGGGAAAACCTCTTTGCAGAGTAAAGCTTGGTGAGTCTAATTAATTCCCTTGCAGGGCAGCCAGGGGCACAATGGGATCACTAAGTGACCTCCATATGCTTAAGCCCCAAACATGTTTGTTGCCTGGGTTGTCAGAACCCTACCACTAGAGTTTGGTTGGCTCTGTATTGATCAGAAGCCTTGGTGAGACCATGACATGCTCATCCTGCCCACCCTCCTGACTCCCCACTGGAAATAGACCCAGACTCAGGTGTAAACCACATTCAGGCACCAGGCCTGTTGTAGTGTAAGAAAGACAAAGCATGTGTTTTTCTTATGTCAGTGATTCTTAAACTTGAACATATAAGAATCAAATGATAGTTTTTTTCCCCCAAAAGTTTTGCATATTTATTATTGAATCAACCAAAACCAGTACTCCAGTACCCTCATAGCTAAAAAAAAAAAAAAAAAAAAAAGACGAGATTTCCAGTTAAACATGCCCAACTGTCCCAACAGCAGTGACATTTTCAGATTGACCTGGTAAGATGATCGTGACTGTGATACAGAGTAACTGCATGCGCCATTTCATGTGTAATTCCTTACAGATGCAGCTTGGTTCTCCTTCAGTGTCCCCTCTTGGGATTGTACCTGATTTTATGACCAGTTTTCATATGAATCCATTGGGGATTGGGCTAACTTTGCTTTTGTTTCTTTGCTAGGAATCGTTTGATCCTGAAGGTCTCATGAGAAGATGTGGCAAGGGACTGAATGAGGTGCATGCACCTCAATGGCTGAGAAAAGGTGAAGAGTTGGTAGACTTTTTAATCTGTAGAGTTTGAGGGATACTACCTCTGAGGTTCTGGATTTCAAGGTCTCCAAACACAGTCTAAGTCAGTGGTTTTCAGATCTGGCTGTTACTGGAATCCACTTTTTAAAAGGGATGCTCAGACCCCAAGTAATTAAATCTGAAGAGCTGGGAGTCCAGCCCAGGTCTTGGAAGGCCTTGAGAGCTCTGTGAAGCCAGGATTGTGAGCCATGTGTGAGCCAAGCATCCGCATGGGCATGGACACAACTGAGGGCTCTTAGAGGTCACGACTGGACAAGGCAGTTGTCATGTGGTTGACGTGTTCATCTTCAGACAGACAAGGGAGGGGTCCGGCTCTGCGCTGTCTAGCTGGCCACATCACAGAGACATGGCTTACAGGTGGGATAGCACCATGAGGTTTGTGAGGGCCTTGTGGCCATGCTCAGGTCTGTGCCTGTGCCCTTCTCCGCTCCTGGGAGAGAGCCCTCAGCTTTCACGAGATTCGTTCTCTCTCCCTCCCCGATTCCCTGGTTTTGTTAATTTACTCTTCCCTTCCTTTCAAGTCCACTGCTCGGCTCTGGCGCTATGGTGAAGGATACGGCAGCATGCATTTCTGCATGCTGGGTGTATATTTGTGATTGACAGGAGCTGTGTTCCCACCCGGGGTGTGCTGCCAAGCTCGATTCCGCTGGCGTGTGACCATCTAGTCCACGTCCCAAGTGCTGCGTGCTAATCCACGGGTTTCCCAGGGTCTCACCCGTCTACAGCCTCAGTGAGGGGCACTCAGAGTGTGTCCACTCTTCTCGGCCACCAGCAATGTTGTTGTAAGCACCCTCACGTGTGTCCCCTTGGGAGCCAGAGGAGCATGTCTTGGAAGCTGTTGGGTCATAGGGTTACAGACTTTTTGACTGAGACTGCTGGACTGCTTTCCAGAATGACCGTATCCCTGTCACCACTACTGGAGTCCTGAAGCAATCCGATCTTTGTCCCTGCTCAAGAGTGACGGTCATCAGAACAGTGTTGGCCGGGCCCTGGGCCCCAGGGCTGTCTGCCTCTGCTTTTCCTCCTCTCTGCCTGCCTTCCACCCACTCCCTGTGGCGGCTGCCTGGGCTCTTCATCTCCATCCTCAGGCCTGTCACTCTACCAACTTCTTTGTCACAGAGAAAACAGAGGTCACTTACTTTCCTCCCTCCACTGCTAAGTGTACCAGCGTTGGCCTGGTCTTGACTGGTTTTCTCTTTCTGCTTCCTCTGAGGGCTGAGCCCCTGAGCTTAGGATTCCCTTCCCTTCCCTTCTTCTAGAAGCCTTGCCACCTTGGCACCTCTCCTTGTGTCTTAACCTCTCTTTGTCACTGGCTTGCTTCAGTGGCCTAATCTTGGCCATTCCCCGCCATTCTGAAACCACCTTCACTTCTCCTTAAAGCTCCTCCACCCCTTTTCAAAAAAGTGTCTTTCATTCAGTATAAAACTTTTGAATGCGTTCTCTTTTTCGATGCTAGGGATGAAACCCAAGGCTTCAGGTGGTGGCACAAGTGCTCTGCCGCTGAGCTGCACCCTGGCCCAGGAATGCACGGGTCCCTCAATTTCTTCTCAACCTGCTCCTTCAACCCAGCCCTCCTCTTGGTGGTCGTCTAGATGCCAAGATTCGTCCCGCCTCCTGCCATCTGACTCCACTGACAATACGCTCCTTCACGACTTTCTCCTGGTTCTCTCCTCTCTCTGCTTCTTCTTAGGCCTCCTTTCCCTCTACCCTTCATTTAAAGCTTTCCCCTCTACTGGGTACTCAAACTGCCACAAGTTCTCCCCTACTTCTCAGACTTCCTTGAATTGTCACTGAGAAGCAGATGCCTCTCAAACCTGGATCTCTTTTTAATTCAACAAATCTGGTTGAAAATGTACTGTGTGCTGAGATCCAGAGCTGCATGAGATCTATAAAAGTTCTCAGTCTGGAGCTCGGTCTTCTGAGCAGTCTAGATGTGTCTAACTCACAGACTAGCTTCAGCAAATTATGTATCTATAAAGTTTTTCTACTGGGGTCCAGAATCTTAGCTGTCTGCTCCAACTGTGGTCTAAAGAATGTACCAAAGGCCCTGAGTCATGAGATGTGCATCTATTTCCTATGACTAAGAATTACAGGACAGCCATCAGCAACACCTGGGGTTCTAAGCATATAGCTTGGATCATTGATTTTTTCCCCTGCCTTTGGAACAGGCATTGATAAAGTCTAAATTAATAAGTATTAATGAGAATTGTATATAGAGTTAATGCTGTTGGCAACTGCCCCCCGTCCTAAGAGTTGCTCACCCTGACGTGACTGGCTTGACGAGGCTCACACATGCAAAGGACAATCATGCCAGGTTGGATGAACACTGTGCCTTTCTTACAGAAGTTACCTTGGGTGGATTAGGAAGGACAGAGCAGCAAATTTTGCAGGCTGGCCTGGCCCGCCTCCCGGGGCCAGCTGCTCTCTGAGACAGCCTTACCTTTGTTTCAGAATCTGTTTGTTGTCATCGATGGTAACACTGTCAGCATGGTCCCTCTTGAAGATTTCAAAAGCCTCCTGGCGTCCTAATGACATTTCCTCTCTCATCCCTGTTAGGAGACACAGGCAAATGGCCTCAGTCACAGCATCAGGATCCGATTAATTTCATTGTCACTTTAGTCAGACCGCAAAGCCAGCCCTGGCTCCAAGAGGCCCATGGCAGAAAGGCTCTGACCAGACAGGTGGCCCCAGGCTATTCCAGCTGGCTGCTGACCCACTGAGGAGGCCCTTCCAGCCACAGGACACGTACTGCACCCTGCAGGGCTGTGCCTGCATGTCCATGTGACTTACGGGGGATGGGGTTTGGAATGTCTGATCAGAGGAAATGAAAACCAGAGCACCAAGCCCTGGACCACGGGACATCTGCAAATGCACTTTCTGCCATCTCTCAGGGCCACATGGCTCCTGGGTTCCTGTCATGCCCCACTCTGGCTTTCTGTTAAATTTCACCCTGAATTTCCAGGCATTTAGTGATAGGAATTATAATACAGACTGGGAGATACAGAATCTAGAAATTTCTGACTTAGTTTCCACATAATGATCCATGCTTGCTTTCTGTGGCTGGTGAGGGACCTCGGAGCTCCCCGGAGTCAACTTCTCTGTCACAAGACCATGGCAGGAGTCCCTAGCTGATGTCTCAGCATTTCAATGTCTGGCCTGCCATTGCCACGACAGGCCAAGCCCACTGTGAGGCCCTGCCCAGGGCTCAAAATACAGAGCCTCGAGTCAGAAACCAGGTGGCACCCCCGCACCAGGACCTTTTCATCCCAGTCTCCCAAGGCAAGGGACAGTGCAGGTGCGAGTCTGAGACGTCCCCTCAGTGACAGATACCATCACAACTGGGTTTTGAATGAGTTATTTATTATTATTATTATTATATTTTGGTACCATGGACTGAACACAGGGTGCTGAACCCCTGAGCCACATCCCCAGCCCCCTTTTAAAATGTTCTATTTGGAGACAGGGTCTCACTAAGTTGCTTAGGGCCTTGCTAAGTTGCTGAGGCTGGCTTTGAGCTCGTGATCCTCCTGCCTCAGCCTCAATCCCACTGGGATTACGGGCGTGCACCACTGTGCCCAGCTCAGAGACTTTTAAAAATGCTTCAGCCCTTGGTTCCTGTGCTCGGAAGTCCTTTTCCCCTGTTTCCACCTGCAGCTCTGCTTATCTTCAAAGCCCTGGCTGAGGCTGCCACCTCCACAAAGCTGTCCCCAAACCCAGGCAAAACAAATCCTCCCTGCACTCTGTCCTATCCAGGCACCTGTCACAGGTACAGTCGGGTGGACATCATCCTTCATGACAATCCTTTCTGGGGAAATGCAAGTTTCTCAAAGGTAGAGTCATATTTTTATGTGAATCTCCGGTGTCTCGTTGGATGGCTGGCACTGAGAAGGTGCCCAACATATGTCTCCTGGATGATCTGGTAGGAGCCAAGTGGGCAGGATATGAGCCTTGCTGTAATTGCCACAGGAACACGGTCCAGGGCCATGAGGCTTTGAGGCCTAGGTTTCCAGAGACTCGCTCATCTGGGCCACATACAGCATCTTTTGCCTGGAAAAACCCATCTCCCAGGCTCATCGAGGAACTGGACCAGCTCATCTGACACCAATTTAATCATTACTGTGGTAAAAATAGCACTAGGAAGAATGTCTGAATGGTGAGGTACACAACAACACCCCACCCTTTTCCAATCAGAAGCAAATGGGCATGGCTCATTTCTGTCTCCACATCTGTCCTGCACACTCCAGAATCCGGTGGAGCTGGGAATTGGTTGGTGTGAGACTCTGAGGATGGGCTCTGAGCACGAGAGATGTCAACACCGGGCACTTTTCACCAGCAGAGCCCATGGGAGTTGAGGGATTCATTCCCCACTTCTCCCCTGGCCCTGGCCTGTGTCCAGTGGTAACAATGGGTGCTTTTACTGCACAATAGAATCAGAGGGCGTGTGTGCATCTGGGAGAGTTGGAAAGACGAAAGCTCCACATGTACCACAGTGGAGGTTTGGGATCCCCAAAAGTGCACCTAGGGATCCCCAAATTGCCTCCCATAGAGGGGTTAAGAGAAGGCTTCTACCAACCAGGTAGTGGCAGTGGTGGGGCAGGGCATGGAGGATGGATCATAAAGTGGCCATGAAGGAGAAGGGCTCGTGGCCTTTTCTCTTCTGTGCTCTGCTTTCTTGTGGAGCTGACGGTGTGGATGGGCAGCTGGGTGGGGAAAGAGCCCACTCAGGTTTCCCAGCGCTCATGGTACCACAATGGAAGTCAGTCCTGGGAGAACTTGCAATCAACTGAATCGTCCCTGGTCTGCCCTGAGTGGACGGTGGGAGCAGAAGGCATATGGAGTGTGCAGAGGAGGTAAGCTCAGGAAGATCGCTTGCAATTATTTTTAAAAATAATCTTAAAAGTTCTAAGAAATCAGGAGCCAGCAGCGTAACATCTTATATATGAATCATCAATTACCAAAGATTCAAAATTTAGTAAAGTACACATGTGGGAAAGTTGCATTGGGAATTACTTAGGGACCCTGCTGATGACCAGGAAGATGGCATTAGCTTTCCTCCCACCATAGAGAAGTATTCTGCAAGTAGGGTTTCCTGACTGTGGTGATCACAGGTGAACTGTGATGATGGTATGATGGCCTTAATCCTGGCAGCTGGCTCCCTAGGTGCCTGCCCAGGGAGGCCATGGGGAGAGGCTGATCTTGTCCTAGTCTGAGGGGAAAGAGGCAAAGCAAGGCCGAGATTCCTACAGAGCCTTCAGGGAAGGCTACCATAAGGAGCATGAGACTGGGGTCCACAGAGAGAGGCCCATGGGAAGGACCCCAAAGGAGCTGAAGTGTGCGGGCTGGGTCTCCGTCTCAGCCTTCTCCTGTCCATCCCCTTCTGCCCATTTAGAGTCCACATTCGACTTTTTTTTCCCCATTGTACTAATACATCAGATCTCAGTCCAATTTGGGGTCACTCACAACATTAATGAACGACTGTTTCCCCCAACTTTTCATTTATTAGAGCGATGTCTCAACTTCTTTTTCCTATGAGGATTTAGAAAGCAGGCTCTTTCTCCTGTGACAAGCTCTTGTACTGAAGCACACACTGTATGTGTTAGGAGCAAGAGTGTTTGAAAGCTCACCTTGCTAATGAGACAATCATCTATTTATTTATTCCTTCAAGACGTGTTTATTTATCTTAGGCGCTGTGCTAGGCATGTGACAGAGATGCAAAACCCAAGAAGGCAATTAAAGCTTTGATCTTTGTGTTTAAAGAGTTCAAAGTCTAGTCAGAGAGAAAGGAAAGTGAACAAATAATCACACTGCTGTGAGCTGCAGGGAGCTGTGTCCAGCACCAGGAGACAGGGAGGAAGAGGGGCAGGAGACCGCTAGAGGAGGGGGCATGTGACTTCATGTGAAGGGATTCTGAAGATGGTGCACCATTTGCCAGGTGGGGATGAAGAACAGTGGAGGGGGCAGAGGGGTGTGAATTAAAAGGGCAACCTGACCAATACGGGCGGTTCTGCCCTCCATGGGAATGACATTTGCATGGTTATAGAAAAGGAGGGGAGGTAAAGGTTGCCCAGCTTTTAGAGGCAATTAGTTCTGCTCGTCAATAGATTTTTCCAGGGAAAGTAGGTCTGATGGAAAGGGCAAGGTGGGTGGCATCCAAAATGGCCTGCTAGTAGATTCACCCATGAGATCTGGCTCGAATTAGTGCCTATTTTGCCCAAAGCTTTATATTTTTTTTCACAGTATTACAGAAAACCAGAACCCTGAATTCTGTTGACTATTTACATAGTGTATTTGATATGTTAATAAGTTCTGTTAATTATTTATAGAATTTGTGAGCTCCTAGGGGCAAGGATTCTTGTCAGTTTTGTTTGTAGCAGTATTTCTAGCACTTGACCAGTCCCTGGTACCATGGAGGAACTCAACTGTCTTCTATTGATCCTAGGGCCTTGCACATGCTAGACAAGTGCTCTGTTACTGAGCTACATCCTAAGCCTTTTCGTAAATGAATTATTTTGAGACAGAATCTTGAAAGTTGCCTAGGCTGGACTCAAACTAGTGATCCTCCTGCCTCAGCATCCCAAGAAGCTGACATTACAAGTCTGTGCCACCATGCTTGGCACAATTAGATGTCTTTTGAATGAATGAGTGGGCAAATGTCTTCCCTTTTGTTAGACTATGTTGCTACTGGGGAAGTGAAACAGGCCGGCACTGCCCTCTACCACCATGCTCCTGGGGGGGTTCATCCCCTCTGTGATGTGTCTTAGAAAATTCCCCATTACAGGTTATTGCGCTTAACAGCCCACTATTAGAGATGAATTCCAACTCCAAGAAGCTTTTATAAAAATGCAACAAGCCTTGAAGGTATCACTATTTTAGGGTGAGCAAAGAAAAATTCTACAATTTGTTGACAACTAGCTAACAGGTCCTACAAAGACAGACATGCTACTTTCTTCCCAAATTGGTCTGTCAGAATCGGCTCCTCATCAAGGTGAAGGGTCTCAGAGTGCTGACCTGCTGTGCTCACTTCTAGCTCTTGTTTGTGTTTAGTGAATTTCAGCCATAGGTCCCAGCCCTGAATTTCAGCCATAGGTCCCAGAAAGTATGGATGATGATGAGGGCCTCTCTGGCTTGCTGAGCTGCAGGGCCACGTGGGTAAACCTACAGGAGATGCCCCAAACACAGCACTGCGTTTCCAGGTTATGGGCTGATGGAAAAATATTTATAAGACCCAAAGGCATAAACTCTTCTGGATTTTGATAACTGATTAAAGAGCACTTTGGTAGAAATGGCAGTCAACAGTTTTTAAAAACTAGCTTTGGAGTTGGATTTCTGAAAATATCAGGCATCCAAATTCACATGTGTTGGCCTCTTATGTTTTAATTCTCTCTCTCTCTCTCTCTCTCTCTCTCTCTCTCTCTTTCTCTCTCTCTGTGTGTGTGTGTATAGTAATGTATATATTTTATTTATTTATTTTTTAATTTGGTACCGGGGTTGAACTCAGGGGCACTCTACCACTGAGCAAATCCCCAGCCCTATTTTGTATTTTATTTAG